CTGATGAAGCAGCATTTGCTAATTTGGAAGATGTTTGTATGGAATGATGTAGTATTGTTGGTCTTGTTGGTGCAGTAGTCGAAGGAGTATTTAATGATTCATCACTTTTTGACAGCTCTGATGTTTCTGTAAGATCTGGAACTAAACTTGTTGTTGTTGTTGTTGGATTAGCATTTCTATTTCCAAATGCACGAAATGAACGACGTGCTGTGGAATCAAGTACAGAAAAAGCAGCTACAGCTTTTGTTGATAAACGATATGCTGTTGTTGGTGGTACTGTTGTTGGTAGTGCTGTTGTTGTTCGATTATGGATTGGATTTTGTACTAATTCATAATTATTTTTTATCAATGATGGATCAGTATCATCTGTTACTGCAATCGAAGCATCATTTAATTCAATATGAACTAAACCTTTATTATCATCATCGGGTGTCGTAGAAATTAGATTAGTTTTTAAATGAGTTGGTTCATGTGTACATGTTGTTTCAGCATTAAATTTATCTTCACATTTTTTATGTATTGTTATTAAACAGTCACGACATTGACGACCAATTTTCATCCAAATTTTTTTCTTACAATAACCACATACTGTTGCAACTGTAAATGCTTTATCTTCAAATAAATGATCCGTAAGTCTAAATAGAAAAAAAAACTTAATTTAGAATTTTTTTTTTTGTATTTGAAATGAAATTACTTTCGTGTAGGTAATTCATGTTGTGCATTGATAGCATTTATATATTTTAATTGAGATTGTTTTTTTTCATTTTCTTTGATTCGTTTAGATAGTGCAGTTAAAGTTGGTGTATTAGCTGCAAATTGATCTTTTTTCTCCTGTGGGTTTAATCCTGCTTCAATTTCTGGTTGATGTTCGATATTTATTGTTACAAAACCATGAGCCAAGTTATCATCATAACCTTTATGAGTAGCTAATTCGAGTAGTTTTTTACTAAAATAAAATTTAATGACTATAAATTCCATGAAAAATTAAAATATGAGGAGTAAATTAAATTTTTTCATGCATTTTGCTGCTCTAAGGCATTGTTTGGAAGTTACGCAATCAGCTAGGACAATGAATGGGCCTTCAAAAATATCACCTTTCATGACATGTGGAAAGAAAAGGGAGGAGGTAATGTGGATGTAACATTTGAAAGAAGGACTATTTTACTTGCAGTAAATTTTTGTTGTGTGTCGGGATGGGGGCAGACAGTGGTGGAGCTATGCAGAGTCTGAAGGAGGCTGAGCTTCCCTAGCCCAAAATCCTGGCTCTATCATTGGGGATAGGCCCATCATATATAACGTGACCAAAGAAGGGAATCTAAAATGGTCAAAAAACTGATCATGTGATTTCCAAGCAATCCGTAATATATATTTTTTTAAATTTTACCTTTCCGAATCTGTCAATGAAGCACTTCTAAATAAAAGAATTCATCCATTAATATATGTTTATATATATGTTAAGATTAATTATATGAATTAAAACTTACAAACTAGAACTTTCTGAATAAGGTGATCGAAAATTGAGTGTCGTTTGAGTTTCACGTTTATAACTCATATGTGCATCGAGTACTACTTCTGAAAGAGCTACTGTAGCCTAAATAAAATATAAAAATATGTATCATCTAAATTTTATTGTATGAATAGAATTAATTCTTTTGTTAATATAGAAAAATCATATTGAAAATGATATAGAGATCTATCCGAGTTTTTGTCATTCTCCTTTTTTTTTCTTGAATATAGTTAATTTTGACTTACATAACCGAGCAGGATAAGTTTTTTGCCAGCATTTGGTACATCACAATCAAGCGGTGGTTTACACCATAAACAAACATTAAGAAATCGTTCATTTGGATCGACTTGAAAATTGAATTTATGATTAAATTCAATGTGCTATATTAAAGAAAGGCAAGGACAAAAAAGAAATGATTTTTTTAAAATTTGGTATAAAAACGAACCGGTTCCGCTTTTTGAGTAGGAGTTGGTTGAGCTTGAAATTTTTGTAAAATATCTGCATTCATCATAATTAAAGTAATCTCATTTACAATACTTTTCTATATATCAAAAACAAAAAAAAAGACAATTTCAAATGAAGAATTTCTGATCAATTTTATCTACTGATTGTTTTGGTTTTTTTGTTGTATTCGTACTTGATGATTTGATAGAAGTATCTTCCATATTAGTATTTTGTATTTGTTCATCATCATCATCATCATCTAATGGTTTGTTTTCTAAACCAATTGAGTCGATATTTTTATCAAATTTTACTAAAGAAAAAAGAATACAAGAAAAATCAATCATGAATAAAACATTAAAAAAACACTGTACTTGCTGGTTCAGCAAATCTTTTTCGTACACTAGCTGATGTTGGAGATATATCATTACGTATTGACAACGTTGGCGAATATCCACCCTGACAGAATATTAAATTATAATAAAATAGATTCTTTCAATTTTTTCTTTACCTGTTTTTCTGTTTCTATTATATTTGATCGTTCGACTGCATACTGTACTCGAACACTATGTAATAAAGGCATACCAACAATAATTTTTATTTTATCTTCATATGCATTTGTTGTTGTTGGTGGTGGTGTTGATGTTGTTGTTCCATCATTAGGTGAAACAATTGGTTTAAATTTTAATAAACGATTCATTTGTTTAAGTGTTTTAACATCGTGTCCTTGTATTTGAAGTAAAAACATATTTTTATCTTCTAATGCTGCTTTAAATGCTGCTACATTTTCAATTCCATTTGGTATTGGATCAATGTTTTCAATTAATAATTCTGTTCGATCCATATAAATAACTTGTTTAGCAATTATTTTATGTATATTACGTGTGAGTTCAATTTCTTTCATTGGCCATTGTTGACGTTCTATATGTAAATAATCTGCACACATTTGTTCATTAATATTTACTGTTAAAAATACTGATACAAATGAAATTTTTTGTTTATCAAATATTCTTAATGGAATTGAAAGACGATCACAATGTTTAATTAATACATTAAATGTACCCGGTATAAGATTATTTCCATTAGCAGATAAAATTTCGATTGGTAAAGATTGTTCTGATGTAGCAAAAAATGGTGTATAACGAATTTTATAACTTGGCCATGTTTGTTTACGTTTCATAGCACGACGTAATTGTTGAGTAATAATTTGTGCTACTTGTGGACTTTCACCAGCAGCAAAATAAGATTTAACATGAAAATCAATAAATGGCTCATCTTGGAAAACTAATAACCAATGACAAAATGGTTCACGTCGAAATTCTAAACGTAAACGTCCTTGAATACGTTTAACTTTAATAAATAATTGACATTTATGACCAAATAATAATGTTACATCAAGTGTAACAGAAAATCCATCTTTATAATCAGCATCAATATTAGCAACAAATTTCTAAAGAAAAATTTTTTAATTACATCTATCGAAAGTGGGATATATGATACACTGAAAATTGATACTATTGGATACAAAAAAAAGAAGAAAGAAAAAACAAATTTTCATACATGAATGAAGCTTTTATAATCCAAATAAAGATTTATGTATCAAATAACATTTCTTTTTCTGTTTAGAATCATGAAACGTATTTAAAGATTTCTTACTTTAATCAAATTACGTTCATCACGTTCTTGCCGTTCAAGTTGAATATCGCTTAACACTGGACATTCTTTTCCAATTGAAAAACTTTGTATCTTAAAAAAAAAACAGATTATTATTAGAATTTTCATAAAAATCTATTCCAAAAAATACATACAGCAATATTTTGAAGAAAAATTTTTCCAGTTCGACTATTTTTTAATTCATTAAATTCTATATTTAATTTATGCATTATATAACGTCTTAATCCTGAACTATCTTTTAGTTCTTGAAACAAAAATTGAAATAAATAATTAACACCATCAACAGCTGAATTTTTAGCTTGTTCATTCTATAATAAATAATATACAGATATGAACTATGTTACGATATATGAACTTACTTCAGGTAATGGATGAAATGTTTGATACTGTTCTTCTTCTTGTTCATTAAATGTTACTGGTGATGAAAATGCATAGCGTGTATATAAATATAATAATAAAGCAATTGTTGATATACAACCCAGGATATAGCTGACAAGTATGATTAGTAAAAACATTATTGCAAACGAAATGAATTAACTTCTATCTCATCTTGAAAGAACAGAAAAAAAACAATTTTTTTTGTTTATCAATTTCCCTTAAATTTTTTCAGTTCTTGTTGTTCGTTTGGTTGTATTCAAAATTCTTTGTTTACACACACACTTCGAAAGCGTCATACAAAACTATACAAACACGTGAGTGAGACAAAGAGAGAGAAGAAGAAAAAACCAACGAAAAAAAAAAAACCATTTAAAAGCGTACACAATTAATCATCATCCATCTTCAAGGTTATTATCCTTTTCAACTCTAAACTATCCGTACACACACCTAATATCGCTCGTTTTTTTTTCTTAATATATAATAAACGGAAGAATCTTGCATCGATCAATTTGATATTATTTTAATATCCCTTATATAGTTTTTCCTAGAACATATATATATATATCCGAATGAAAAACGTGTTACATCAGTAATAATCCCTATTTACAATGAAATACAAAAAAAAAAAAGAAGAAAGAAAACGAAAGAGTGCTAAGAATCATCGCTATGTTCCTCATCTTCTCACATATTCCAGCGCAATAGATATGAACGCGCACGAAAAAGAAAAGAAAAGAAAACTGTTGTCTATTGTGAGAAATGAAGATCACTGCGAGCATATAACGCAATAGAGAAAGAGAAAAGAAAACCAACAGTTTGCCAATAAATTAAAAGAAGAAAAACCAAAAAAAACCAAAACAAAATACAGTCGACCAACACAAGCATTTAGCAATAATATAGAATTGTGTATGTTCCTCTATCTCTCTCTCTCTCTCTCACTTGACTCACACGAAACAGAAGGAAAAAAAACGAACGAAATGTGTATGCATATAAATACGAACGATCAAGTCAAACTAGGATTTTGAATGAGCAAAGAAGCATCGTCAACATTCGATGATAAATGATGATGATGATTAAAACTAGGTGGAACATAACCAAAGAATTGTGGAAATGATGCTGTTGCGGACGGTGATGTATGAATTCGCTGAGAAGGATAATAGCTGTTCGTTGAATTATTTGTTGTTTGAAATTGTGTTGGTACACTAAGATCAATTGATGCTAAATTAGTATCAATAATTGGAAAATGACGATTTATATTTGTTGGATCATCATTAAATGTTGTATTATTTGTTTGATTTACATTTGGATAATTAGTTAAATAAGATGATGATGATGTTGGAATACCAATTTGATTAACATTTGTTAATTGTGCTATAGATGAATTTGATGATTGTTGTTGAACTGATGGAGCTAAACCTGGAAATGGTCTTTGAATTCCAGGCATAAATATTTGTTGTTGTGATGTTGAATCATTTGGTTGCCAAAGATTCGGTGGTGGATACTGCTGATTTGCACGTGATGGTTGATTTGTTGATGGAACTGTTTCAATTATATGACGATACGAATCTTGACGATAACGAAGAGCTAATAGAAAAATAAAGAAAAATAAACAAATAACATAAAATATTAGAAATTATTTTTAATACCAGAAAATAAACAGGATATGATGATGAAAAATAAAAGAGGCAATTTTATTACTCACCTTGCCTCAAAAAAAAAAGAAAAGACAAAGACAAAGACCGAATTAATTTAGGATAATCAAGCATTATAAACTCATTAGCTAGCGAAAAAACATTTTTTTGTTTTTCAATTGATTGATAAAAAGAATATTTATGTTATGCAAAGCAACGTGCATAGATTTTCTCTATCTTTTTTATTTCTACATAAAAAAAAACGTACAAGAAGAAAAAAAAAACACGAAGAACTCGGCTTATTTCCGACCATTTATATATAAATGATTAGTAGTATTTATCACTTTTCGTGCTTCTGGTTTTACTTGATGTAAATTAATATGCACTATAAACAAAATATAAATATTCCTAAATAGTTTTTAATAGTACTCTTTATCTCAAATCTGCAGGAATTAAACATGATTAGTTATTTTTTTTTTTGTTTTTTTATTTAACTTACTCGGATCAAGATTAGGTGAACCATTCGAATTGAGATTCGATGATAAAGGAATATTTGTATGATTTGTAATAAGAGAATTATTTTGTTGTAATAAACTATTAACATTATTTGTACCATTATTATTTGTATTTGTTAATAAAACATTTGTTGTCGATGACGATGGATGATTCATAGTTGATGTTTCATCATATGTTCGTTTAAAAAAGCTTGCTTGTAATGCATTAAATGGTAATATACGTCGTTTTGGATCATATTCAAGCATTTGTTGAACAAGTTCTTTAAATTTCATATAATCTAATACGGAATGATTAGGTTCGCCAGTACGACGACCACCAGGACCACCAACATCAACGCCAAGTACATCATGTAATTTACGTGTACCTGGTGCTCGATACTATATTTAATTAAATATAGATACATAATAAAGAATATAATATTTATTTTCTTTTTTTGGTTTCTTACCCTTCTTTCTTTACTTTTTCGTGGTATCCATGTATTATCTGGTAAACGATCAAAAAATCGTTTAGTTTTTGTCCCTTGTTCAAGTATATGATTCGGTGGCATACCAAGTACTTCAACAATTTTCATCATTTGATCATACTAAATCGATATTTGTTTGTTTTTTTTCTTTCTAATATTAACTAAATAACTTACTTCATTTGTACCACTAAATAATGGTTCACCTGTATGCATTTCAACAAGGATACAACCAAGACTCCACATGTCAATAGCCATATCATATGGAATACCAAGTAATACTTCTGGTGAACGATAAAATCGACTTTGAATATATTGATAAAGCTATAAAAGAATACGTTTATATCGTTTTATATATAAAAATCAAATTCCACAAAAAAAAAACATACACGTTGACCAATTTGACATGAACTACCAAAATCAACAATTTTAATAGCTGATCGTTTTGGATTAACCAAAAGAATATTTTCAGGTTTCAGATCTAATTATAAAAAAATAATTTATTTATAGATATATATATATATAGAATATTTTTGATTTTCACAGTAACATACCGCAATGAAGTACATTAAGCTCAGGTTGGGATAGAAAAAGTAATGCCGATAATAATTGTAATGCAAATTTACGTGTTAAATTTAATGATACGCCACGAAAATTTGTATTGCGTAATAAATCATATAAATTATATGACAATAATTCAAAAACAAGACATAAATGATTACGAAATGTAAAATTTCGTTTTAATTTAACTTTAAAGAAAAAAAAAACAAAAGAAATTAATTTTACTTTAAATAGAAAATTTCATACATACCAATATAACCATTATTATCAATATCATGTTGATTCATTAATTCAAGAAGACGTACTTCAATTTGTGCTTGTGAAAGAAATGGTCGTTTGTTTTTAATTATCTTTATAGCAACATATTCACCATCAATATGATCAAATGCTTTAACAACCTAGAAAGATATATATATATTTTTTTTTTCAAATAAAATTTTTTATTTTTTTTATTTTCAATTTTACTTGTCCAAAACTTCCTTTTCCAATAAGACAATCGATAGTATATCGTTCAAGCCATATTTCACCTGGTCGTACAATATAATCATGATTTTCATCATCAAAACCATCATTTAAATTTCGTTTTTCTTTTTTATATAAACCATTATTATCTTCAATTACTTGATTATTACTACGTTTTTTCTTTTTTGCATAATAAACCTAAATGATAATTAATTGTCAATTAAAATCTGTCAAACAAATATCACAAAAACGAAACACAGAAAGAAATAATTTAATTAATACTTCATAATTTGTTTGTAATTCAGGTGATATTGGGCCTGTAGCTGATGGTACAATATCATATAGATAACTAGTTGAACTACCATATGCTGAACTTCCATCGGTAAGACTACTTGCATTTGATGAAAGATGATGATGACGATTCGTATTGTTACAATAAAATTGTTCATAACCAAATGGTACTGTCCATTCAGTATAAGACGGTGCTTGTATGTATTGCATCGTTATGCTCTTTTTTTTCTTTTATGTCTCACAGACACTCGTAAATAAAGTATCAAAAAAGAAGAAGACGAAGAAGACAAGGAAAATCTATACCAAGAAAACCTCGTTAAAACAGCCAGACCATATCGGGACGAAAAGTGTCAACAACAAGCCTCGATCATCAAGGTTAATTATTATACTTTAAAGGATATCATATACACACACACACACACACACACATACATATATATATATGAATGACATATGTATGTATACTATAAACGAATAAGGTTTTAAGAATAAGATATATGCATCAGCTGATGTTCTCTTCTCATAGATTAATACACATCAATGATGCTCACGGTCATTGAATTGCATCATATCGCTCAGTCATATCTTTTCTTAATGTATATTTAGATGACCCGAAAGACGACGCATTCGACCATCGCACAATCAAATGTTCGATGTTATACATAGAGAACGGGAGAAAAAGGAGAAGGCGTACGCATAGAAAGATATCATCGTTATAATCATTTTTGTTTTGTCCTATATTTTTTTTTCATTTTTTTTACGCATCACGAATACATTTACTTGTATATCATCATCATCCCTACTACACAGAACGAAAAGGGAGAAAAAGAATATATATATATATATATAAGAATATCGAATATTTATATAACATGTAATTTATGTATATACATAGAGATGATTGAATAAGAATAAGATTTTACCTCATTGATATGTTTGTATGTTTTGATGAGATCAACACTTAATTTACGAAGAGGTGCCTCGACTGGATCTCGATAAGCGTTCATTGCTGGCATCATCATGTATATTATAGATATATTGATAATATTCCATAATTATAATAGCATTTCATTTTCATTTACCATAACATATTCTATTTAAGAAAAAAAAAACAAAAAGAAAAGAAATTAGATATATTTTTTTTTGTTTTATTTTTCAAAAAAACAAATCAAAAATTTTACATACCAAAAAAATACAGATTTAAGCCGTTAGTACTGCTTGTTAAATACAATAGTTGATGAAGAAAATTTATAAGTAAAATAGAAAAAAAGAAGCAGGACAATATTGAAGAATTGGATGAGAATGATAAATAAAAATTGGTCAGCAACGACACAGATAAAAGAACGTCAAATCGATTGTGAATATGTTTATATGTATATGACAATGTGGATTATAAGTGTAGCTGATATGATCAATCGTATGACGCTCTAAATGAAAATGAATATATATTGTCTACGTGTACATTAAAAGCTTATTATTGTTTGACTCATTCATAGTTGTTTATCCCTGACTCACGAGATCTTGAGTCGAAAGAGAGAAAAAAAAAGAAGGAAAAAATGATGGTAGCAGCCATAAACAAAGAACTTCATTTTGACTGGATCATGCGTTCTTCTACTGATCGCCATTCGACCGGATCATTTAATAGCCTCATTAATGGTATACATAAAAAAGTTAAAAGAATATTTAGTGATTTTTTTTAAGTATTATTATATATACTCAGATTAACTCAATATTTATAATCCCTCCTATAATCAAACTAATGTTATTAAAAATTTAGCTATATAAAATAAATATATGATGACAGTCGAACGGTGACATCTTCAGGAATGATATTATCAAGAATTATTTTATTCAATTTTGAATCATAACTTGCTGAAACTATCGAGTATATTTTTTATTATATTTACTTGAGTGCAAACATATGGTGATACTTAATTATAATATTATCCATATCATTTAGTATGTGTAAGTGAGAATAAGTATGTACATCAAGTACGAATACATATTTAAATAAACAATATATTTGTTCGATCAAAATTTCTATTCTAACAATTTATATACTTCAGATACTAGTCTCATCGATACCAATGATAAGAGAGTATTCAATTGAAAAGAATGAATGTAGTCATCTATGTATTATTTTTTGTATTATTATTGTTGGAATGTAAATGATACGAATGAAAAATTGTTTCTAAAAATTCAATTATAATCTATTCTATATTCTCACCTTGTCAGATCGGATTTTTGTTGAATGGTTTTGATTTCAAAAAAAAAAAAGAAATGAATATTATCAAAATAAACTAGTTCAATGTTATAAAATCATGTAATTAAACGAATATGTCCTTTTTCGATAAAGTCTAATAAATAAAAAGACTATGAAATGAATACCATTTTAGAAAAATAATCAAAGGAATTCAGTACATGTATAGGCTGGTATTCTCAATATGGGAGGATAGTTATATTTCTATTTCATGCATTTATTTTATCGAAATTTCTTCACGTAAAATAATGTTTGTGTATATCAATGGAATGATATCTTTGAAACTCGAAATTATTTGCATATTACAGTAGTTATTTATGCTATTTTGATGAAGAATATAAAAAAACAATTTACAATTAAATATAAGTAGTTCGTTAATATAGAAAAATCAACAAAATGAATATAATCTGACAATCAATGAAAGAATAGATTTATATATACATATATATATGTAATACAATATCGTATGAAAAAAGAAATAGAAAAAAAGTAAAATCTTTGTGACGTTTGTGCACAAGGGAATGTTAGTTTTTGGATAAACATATTTAACGAGAGAAAATAATAAAGAAAAGTACTTTAATTAAGATTGATGATCTTTGGAATTTTCACTCAATAATGAAATTGAAGCGGATGATGTTGAATTAACAGTAGAATTCGTTTTTTTTATTTGATTAATTGCTGATAACTTTTTAAAAAGAATTAAACATATATACATAATTAAATAATTGTGCAAATATTGGGTGTGTGTAGTTATACACATAAAAAGTTTTTAGCTTTACATCTCTTGCTTAGCGGAAGATAGGTTAATTTTAGTATATGTATGGTAGCTATGTTGGCACCTTTCACATTTCTAAGCGCATTTAACTACATTAAGACAGCTAATTCTCATTTTTTCATTATTTTAAAGAAGATACTTGAGCCTAGCGACTCTCGTCGCTCTTCTTTTTTTGATTTTCTTCTTTTTCTTACTCATTTGGCCATGTGTTAAGTCGAAATCCTAAAAAAAAATGTAAAATTCTATGAAAATAGCGAAATTTTCAAGAAAGATAACAAATAATGAATACATCTGTTCATTGTTTAAGCCTTTTTTTCAAAAAAAGGACCACGAGAGTCGCTATCTCTAAATACGAGTTTTCAAACAAAAAAAAACCATTGGCTATAATGAAGCTCCTTCAAAACTTTTTGGAAACGCGATCGAAAGTCTATAAAACGAGAAAAAATGAAAAAGATTTTCGATTTTTTCCAACAAACAGTTTATTTTTCGAATAGGGCATGACAAAAATCTTCAAAAATTTTTGGAAAAAATGAGGTACCGAGTAAAAATCCTTGCCGTTTATGAGAGATCAGATCACGGACTATCTTTCCCTGCATTTATCTTAATTTCGATCATTTTTGGCAAAAGTAACTTTTTTGAAGGGGTTTAACCAACACAGTAATAAGTCAGTTAGGACATTACTACTTATAATGTTCAAAAAGAAAAGATTACTGTTGAAAGAAAATTACGAAAGGCTTTCGCAAAGTGATAAGTTGCTATTGAGATAAGTCTTAATTTATTAGATAAGCTCTATTGAGACAAGAGAATTTCTAACGTGTGTTAGTGAGTTTTTCAATAAAATGTCGTAGTCTTTCCTTAGATCATCTTCAAAATTGTTTTTCGACTCTAAAGTTCAAACTTTGCACAAAGAAAGTTTTCGATGGAACTAATTTAAGGTAAAAATATTAGAGTTTAGTATGTTTGATCCTCGAATAGCAATATTGAAAATTCTTTTTTGCACGAAAAAGCAAATTTTGTTCTTTCATGATATCTCAGGACAGACGATACTAAAAAATCTGATATTTTCACATTGAACTAGTCTCGTATAAAATTTTAACTTAAGATCTGAATGGCGGTTTTCAAGGTAATCTGAGGTAACAACACAACATTGTGTTGAGAAATTCACAAAAATGGTTATAATTTATAGAAGAAAGACCCTATGAGCATGAATCTTTTTAGGCTTTCTCTAGTCTCAATGGGATCTATCTAATAAACTAAGACTTATCTCAAAAGTAGTTTAAAACTTGTTGAAATTCCTTTGTAAGACAATATCATTAGTGAGCTTAATACATCTCAAATTGACATAAGTAATTAATTTAGGAATGAATATAATGATTCATATGTAACAAGGATGAAAATGATGTTCTCGAAACGAAATTAACAAAAAATCTTTTTTTTTTTAGTTATTTTCTGTTCTAACTTAAAATTCAAAAATAAATTGTCAAGTACGAAACCTTGTTCTGTTTATAGTAAAGCTCATAGTCATATGGATGAAATCAATATAATAATGATTGACTACGTAAGTAAACAATGTAGACTTGAAATATTTCGTCATATATGTTTTCAAAAATTTGAAGGATTTTAATCATTTGGGAGACTAAGAAAAAGAATGAAACTTGAATTTTTCTTAGAATGAATTCTATTATATTTGTATTTTTCTCGATAATGTGTAATTAATTCCTAAATAATATTCTTATATACAGATTATACTCTTTTGGATGAAAGTTGTAAAGTTTGAAGAGTTTTATAAACCTTCAAATAAGAATTTTAAAACAGTAGATAAAATCGAATTGTTTGATAAATAGTTACGATTGAAAAAGTTGTACGTACGAACAATCAAACTACTTTAAAATGATGATTAGATTTGTTTTTATTCATACTCAAGGAATTTTTCCACCGCTGAATAACTTAGCATAAAAATTTGTTTGTTAATTAATTTGTTTTTTCTTTTCTTCTTGATCAACTGGATTAAATAAGACTAATGATGATGTTATCGGTACTATTTCTATCACATGTTGTTGATTATTTCGTTCATTTTGATTTATAGTTTGGGTTTATTTTCTCTCCAGAACAATAGGAAAAGTATGTATACAAGTTATGTCAATAATATTTCCATCTAATTTATCAAGTTTTTCTTTATAATTTATAAAACGACCATTTGATCATGTTTTAGTTGAATGTTTAGATTTAATTTTATATAAATCAGATGATAATGGATTTGTTGAATGATCCATAAAACTTTCAGCTAGATCATAATTGATCATTCGTTTTAGTAATAATAATGATGAATTCACATAATATTGACGAGGTCATCCACCGCCACGTCATGCTCATTGAGAATCAGGTTTAAACTAAAAATATAATATTATTATGAATAGAATATAAAAGATAATAAAATAAATACTGGCCGAAAAAGTTTTGTATTATGATTAGCTGAAATTGTAAAATGTTAAATAGATTCATGAATTATTTTCTCATTTGTGAATTGTGAACGATAATCAAATGAATTTGTGTGTGAAATAGTTGAATGTTGAGAAGGATGATTATATGAAGATAAATGTAAATTTCGATTTACGTCATGTTGTAGTCTTTTTAGATGATAAGGAAGATGATGATGATGATGATGATGAGACATCTAAGAAATATAGAAATTTAATATCTATTGAGATTTTGTATCAATCCGTTTAGTTGTGAATTGGTGCATGATAGTAAACAAAATCATTTTCTTATGATGTACTTAAATTGTGAATTGTGTGTAATGAAAAGAAAAAAAGTCCTTTTCCGCTAAAAAATTTATTTGTTCGATTTTATCGATAATCAAACGAACCAAAATATCGAACTATATATATATATATAAATCTTTGTCATTCATAGACATCTGGAGGAAAATTATTCAAACATAATGTTAAGATATCGATTAATATTATACATTAATAGGAATGTTTTATTGATATGAATTCAATTATCGATGTAAAAAGCAGACAGAAAAACATTTTAGCTCTTTAAATACAAACGATAATAGAATATCATCTGATTGATTGTTTTTTGTTTAAATATTATGGAACCGAAACTAAACATTTAATTAATGTCTTTCTTGAAAGATATTTCAATACGGCATTGTTTATGACTTTGTAATATTGATATTTAGGATTTCAAATAACAGAAGTAACATACATTAATCGCTTCATTAATATTTGCTATGTCTGTGTTACAAAGACATATATAGAATGAATCTATCTTCTCATCATCGAAGACAATGTTGGGAATTATAATGCGTTATTTTTAGCTGTACACATCTGCCGTTTTTGCATGAGAAAATAAGAAAATCAACACAATAAAAAGTAACAGACAATAATTATGGTTAGATATTTTCCTAGTTGAATATCCGAAAATACACGCCATATATATATAAAAAAAACTTCGATGATAGTAAAGTTTATTTAATAAAACAACATGAACAAAATTATTTTTAGTTTACTTATTATTCATTTATTTTTATTCAAATTGATTATAACAAAACGTAGAAGTATGGACGATTTTTTTTTTCTGAATTTTCTCAAATAAATCTTTATCTTGCTTTTTATATTAATGTAAAGATGATGAGATCAAACAACAAGTTATTCGTGAATCTCATCTAAATAAAAATAGTGTTACAAATAAAAATGAAGATCAACAACGTTACTTAGCTGATATAAAATTTGAAGAACGTTGTGACCCTAAAAATAAAAATTTCGAACGAAATTGTTCACCATTGGAACAATGTTTATTAACATCATCAACTCATAATCCAAGTAAATCAACAACAAAATTTGTATATATTTTGCAAAAAACAAGAACGATTCTATTCGTTTTTATTTAGTTAAAAAATATTCATTGAGAACAGTGCTGGAACCAAAAGAAGATGCTAATCAATTTCTTGCTTTTTCTAGAAGAAAACGATTTTTTTATCTTCTTTCATAAATTTCGATGATGTTTAGAAACAAAGATATGTACATTAACAACATTGTCAAAGATTATTCTGTATTAACTGATCAATTATCACGATTCTGTTCATCAATCGATCAATGCAAATATGGTGTTTGCAATACCTGATGAAAACCTTATGTATATATAAACTTTTAAGTTTATTTAATATCTATATTATTTAAACACTTTTTCAGACATTAATTAACTCGAATAATGATAAAGAGTTTAATAAATATTTGTTTTTAAACAAAGAGTTTATAAAATATCTTTCTTGCAAGTTTCGTTTGATATTTTGTGATATGTGCAGAAGAGATTCACTAGAATTGACATTGATACTGAGTTTTGACCAAATCACTTGATTTATCTTTATGTTTCTATCGAACTATCAGTATAATTTATCTGAAAATTTATTCGAAATAAAAATGACTACCATAGTCACAAAAAAAACCAATATTTAGATGTCATAGTCTTTTTTCTGCTTACGAGAGAACTACCCCGACTGTACCTCACCATTTAAGCTTATATTATGTTCATTAGGAAGTCTGGTTAAAACTAGAAAAACTCTAAAAGGGTGTGTCTCCAAGGGTCTTAGAAGCCGAAGTATGGTCGTTTTACTGAATTTTTGACTCAGATTTAGGTATTTACGGAAAAATCAAAAAACAAAATTTGAATCCAGACATTTTACTCATGGGTAGGTCTGATGACCCTTAGAATATCCTAAAAGTTGTAGCCGAAAAAAATGCTCTTTTGTCGAGATATTAAAGTTTCAAATAATAGTCGTTTGCTACAGATACGTCACAAAAATTAGGTTTATTTGAAAATTTAATATCTTGACAAAGGAACATTTTTTTCAGCTGAAACTATCGAATTATTCTAAAAATTACCGGATCTCTCCTATGGGCAAAATCACAAGTCGAAAATATCGTCAAACAGCCACAACTCAACTTCAAAGGTCATTGAGAACGAATTCTTTTAGACTCTTATTAGTCTTACCGAGACCTTTTGGTGGACTCAATATCAGCTCAAACGGTAGATTATAGTTGGAGTAGTTTTCTCGTAAGTAACTGATCACCTTGTTCTTGTCACACCAATAATCTGTTGAATGATAACAAACAAGA